CCGGCTTCCCTTTCTAAAGTAAATATAGATACCATAGTTAGCCTGTCACCAGCCACAAAGAATGCTGTGTATAAACATATGTCCTTTAAGACGAAACGAAATAAGAATAATAAGAGTGGTATTAAACGTTATGGCAGTAAAAGGACAATTGATCTATTATTGTATGATAAATGTTTGAACCAATACTGCGTGTATACATATAAATAGTACATTTATTGTGGTTGTATATAAGTCAATGTTGTTAAAACTGTTCAAAGTCAATAGGTCTTTTACCGCCGCATCATAAGAGAGCTCTTTGTCCAAAACGACAATTTAAAAGATAATTCGGATTGGAATATAGTGTTCGTTATTGTTGTTTTACTTTACACTGGGAAGAATAGAATTTGTCAATGGATAAATTTGTGGAAATTTTATTTTCATTACATTTATATATTAATTTTAACTGTTTTGGTTTGGATTTGGTATTAAATATAAAATCAAGATACAAGCCAGTCTACACATAGCCCAACGAGAACTTGAAGAATTGACAACAAAAAAAGTTATTAGTCTGAGAAAGTTTTGGTTGGAAGCTATAATATGCTCACTGCTCCTACAACCCCGTCAAGTAGGGGTTTTATCAATACAGTCCGGCATTATTAACAAATTTGATATGACATTATTTCACAAGCATCGGACTTCTTTCTAATCAGTATTTCATTCATTATAGAAAATTCTTCCGTTATGTTCGAGGTCCTTAGGTACGTTGACTCTGTTTATTTAGCAATCCATGTCTGTATCGTGAGAATTGGTGCTATTTTGCACGACATCATGAATTATTCAAAAATAGATTCTGTTAATCATTACATTGTCTTGCTCAGTATATCAAACAAAATGGTGTCTTGACTGTAAAGATTTTCCGACTCTCTGTAAGTCGACTGTATTTACACGTGGAACTGGTTCATTTTGAGGAAGAACTGGGGAATTAGAGGCCTCAACTCATCTACAGCCTACCACTATTGATTGTGTATCACCCACACTATATTCCAAATATACCCGGTATTACCGGGAATTATGGAGGGTGTCCATTTGATGTGTGCATTTGCCTATTATCCATTGATCGAACTAAATGGCAACTATATACAAGACAAAGCGTTGTATGAAACCTTTTACTGCTACTTCACATTGTAGGTACCATTATTTTTAATAACTGCTTTTACTATCTGGTAGGTTATTCACCGGTGAAATGAAGACATTAAAATTCGTTTAGAAATCCCACTACTAAGATTTCTCTTGGGATTCTTACACTAATTCTAGTAGCCTTACCCAAAACACATGATTCCTTTGCCAAATTAAATGATAGGGTTAAAGAACATGCCATACACAACCATATGTAGGGTACTCTCACTATACATATTGCTCCGGAAATTGTTGAAATCGGCCAATCCAAACGTGAAACAACCTCCATTGATATCAACGCCCTGCTATTCACAATGGGGCTTGCGGAAACAATCGGGAAATACCAAGTGCCCAAAAGTAAGTTAAATTTGAAATTTATTTAATTTTTTTCCGTGAACTTCGCTGCCAAAAGGCGATCTTATAACCTACAATTATTTTGTTTTAATTTACTAAATTACTATCCCAACAACACTATACGGTCCTTAGCTGTGTCTGTTTTTTCTTCTTTTTCTGACATGTTGCTTTAAAGGGTTTTATTGCGATCAATAAAATGGGATACGTCACTGGGCGTTTCTTTCATACACTGTGTACTATATACATAGAATATACCTTATTGTTATGGGATATTTGTTGTTCAGAATTCATTTGGCTTTTTTTTTATTTTAATAAAATTACATTGCATTTGTATTCATAGAATTTTGAATAACTACCTATGATTAATAATAATGTCACAGTGCAATCATTGTCATATTAGAGTTTCTCCAACTTCATTACCTTAATGGTTTGTTGTTGACAATGCTTGGGTGTACAATACACGAACTATTGTGTAATAAAAACGATTAAAAAATCGTAATAACCAGCGTATAATGCCTTGACTTGATTTAAGAAGTTTTCACACTCCCAAAGTTGAAACGAGGTGTTGTATACAACAGGCCCCTACTTACTATAATTATACTGTATACACAATATAATAACTTGTTATCAACAACAAATAATAATGAATATTGATAGATATACGGCTTTATGTTTCTTTAATAGTCCATATCGAACATAAGCAAAACGACCAGGTCATTAATAAGTCATATTTCGAATATCAAACACTTTAGCTTTAACTAGATGTGAAGGGTTATGTCTAAGGAATATGTTATAACATAAACTGATTCGTAACTGAAGACGTGAAATTATACCTCTGTGATGGAAATGACTAATTCGTATTCAACGCATTCAAATGCCTTCCGTGGCAAACTGCGAATGAAGTCCTCGGCTCCAAATCGACGACTGGCCTCATATGAAGTTTATCCAAGTACACCGCTTACCTATTCTGCTTTAAAGATGGTGAATCCAGAACTCGAGAACCCTAAAGCACCAGCAAATATTTATGGTTTTGGAAAAAGACAATATGACCATCAAATAAAGGAATCTTTCTTAAAATATAAATACATGTTTGAACCGAGGCCGGATATAAAACAGGCAGCACTACCATCAAGAGCACCGATGTCCTATAGCAGTAAAATTCCGGGAAGACTGTTCCAAAAATGTCCTGAGATTCTAATGGAAAATTCGAATCATGAGCCCGCACGCTTATCAACGGTGCCGGCTAAATTGCCGACTAGAGCAATCCTGCCAAAAGATATTCCAGTGGACATGCTACCAGTTAGGGAGTCAGTGTCTTCTAAACTACCCCAACGACCTATTAGACCAATTTCATCGCGAGGAAATACCAATACAAGTTTATACGATTTTTCTACCCTAGAATCTGAGATATATGCCATTAGTTTCAAAGATAACGGTCGGTCTAAGAACTATGATCCCGACAGTGAGTTACATAGTGATTACTATACGATACGTCGATTACCCGTACGATGTAAGAAAAACAGTGTGAAAAAAGATAAATCGGTGGACTTATCGTTATTGTTAACGGGTGAGAGAAAAGAAATTCATTCACGTTTAGATGATAGGTCTGACTATATGTCATCACCAGAGATGACGCCTTCAGGCTAATTAGTTTTGAACATTTATTTCTGTATTAAAGGTTTTAAATGGATTATTTATTTAGCTTCTAAACCATTGACAATTGTAATGTGTGATTTCATTTGTTGGTCATTCACCGGTATTATCTTCCATTAGTCCACTGTAGAACCTGGAATCCTGGTGTAGAAGGGGTTGGGCGATGGGAGGTAAATGAGACCCGTTGATTAACGATTACAATTGTCTTCTATTCATATCAAATCCACAGAAATGCAAGTTCTGCACATTTCTAGCAAAGAGAAATAATGTCCAAAATAGCTTTATCAGCTTCTTGATCAAATCATTTCATCATTGTTCATATATATATATATATATATTTATTTATTAATTTTGAAGAAAAAAAAAAGTGTAACAAATGTGTTTTTTTAATATATACTCTGTGGTATTCCATACGTAGACTGCATCTCTTCTATAACAGGACATGGCTTTAGTGCACTAAACGTGGAATGCTCTTTTCGAAAGGCTCGGTTCTGTTCAACGCTCATTCGACACAATCTAGGTAATTTCAGGACTAAATGGTATATCATTGTATTTCAATAATCCGCTTGTGCGTAGGGGTCTTTAGGAGCACGAGGACCCGGAGAAATCCACGAAGTAAGGCAGGCGACCAGACCCCTTGTCGCGCACAAGCATGGGATCGAAACTGGGCTATTTGACTTAATGACAGACATTATAATCTAAAGCGCACGCGTTAGACCACTGGCCTTCCCCCTTTCCCCAATCGAGTCGTGTAGTGTTTGATTCATGACTTCATATACTGGTACATTTAGGTGTGTCGCGGCATATTTGGAAGATAAGCGGATTTAAATGGCTGAATATTTCGATAAGAAACTCTTCCAAAATGAAAGGAAATGGGGTGTTTAACGTCCTACTAATTTGCTCTGCTTGGGCTATTGAAGACTGACATGCGCTATACAGTTTACTATGGGGGAAATTTTGCCCGAAGAGCGACACTACAGCCTACTCTTACATTTATGTCCAATCTATTAAAACACAGATCCTATTTCGTTTCGTTTTTTACAGTTCAAAATTTCGTTTCACTTGTCTTTACTACACTAGGATCTGGAAGAGTTGTTATATTACCGGCGTTCTGGTTGAAGTGAGAGATTAGCCAATGAAACGGTCTGTTGCGGCATTTTTGGGTAAACAACTAGAAACGTCAACGCTGATTGATTACTCAATGTCTGTCGTCGTATGGTAAAAAACCGCTCGTACGACCACTGACGCGACCTTCCAGTACAACCAGTCAGATCTACATATAGTGTAGGCCATCGAAAGCATAAAAAAATTAATGAAATATAGATCTGTATTTCAATCAGATTGATGTAAATCGGGTTCTTTCGCGACCACGTCAATGTGCACACAGGACCTGGGGTTTTCGTACCATCCAAACGAATCCACCTTGTCCGTTGCCAGGCCATCTGTCCTGCACCACTGACAAGGGGAAAACACAACGGTAAATCCTCATTAACTTTCTCGGTCTAGCGGGCCAACGTCTGACTCTCTGAATCACCGTGGCTGCAACAACTCTTCCAGCTGAAAACCAACAGCGTATGTATCAATAACGTCCCTCGCAGCTAAAGAAAAAAACAATCTATTTAGGTGATGGTGTGGTTTAGATTATCCTTGGTGTCCCCAGTAGTATCGTTCCTTTCTACTCCACTAAGTACGACGGACTGAACGTGCACAGTGGATTCCCATGATGAGTTTAGAGACCATGCGAAAATTGTCTTAATATCGGACTGTAATTGAAATCTATCTGACAGTGGCAGTAGGTTCACCTTGGTATATGATACTGGGGTTACGAATAATTGTCCATTTTGAATTTGAATTTATTTTCTCTTCGGTGTACACGATAATAACAAATATAGTTCATAAACATATCAAATATAATATCACAGTTCACAATATCCATAATTAAAAAAAATAACATACAAAACTCATAACAACTGATCAAAAAAAATAGACACTGGTAAAATTATTTACTTGGGGAGTTCTTGGTCGAAAAACTCCCAGAAATCATCATCCTTTTCAAAGGATTGTGGAAGTTTGCCTGGAGATGGGAGGGTAGGTGGTGGGGTTAAGGGTGGGGTCTTAAAAACAAAATCTTCAAACGCTTCTTCTTTAATAGGTTGGTGACTGGACTCGACCTTGGTCTTAGTTGGTTTTGGTTTCTTCTTTACAGCTGTGGGTACAGTTTGGGGTTGGGGTTTGGGGCGTGTTGCATTCCTGTCCCAATTAACAGTTTGTTTGGGTAACGAATCGTGATACTCTTTCCATTTTTCTTTCTGTTTTTCTCTTAATAAATTATGTTCAGACCATTGACCTATAGACATGCAGACAAAATTTAACTTGTAGTAATTTGAAGTGAATACTTTTGGTATTGTTAGTTTCACACACACACACACCAAAGTACAACAAATTTCTTAAAGGCACATGTTCCTTAGTGAATATTTACATATCAATATCATTTTGTTGATAAATCTAGCCCTTTTTCTCGCCATGGCTCTGGTCCCAAGCTTTCTTGATTCTGTCCCGTATAACATTGCTTTCAGCCCATGTGCCTGTAAGAAACAGTAGGAAAAGCTGTTAGCATGGGATGTATTATATTGTTAGTAAAGGCATTATATAGCATCGCGCCACTAAATATTTTGATAATTACGAGGCATAACAATATCATATTTACAAAGAATTCTTAAACTGGACATTGTTTCTATGAAACCTTGTAAACAATCTGGATGTTTTATTAAACAGATCTTCGCCTCTCAGTAAAAAAAAATCATTTTTTGATTTTACATGCTATACATTCACTACGAGTCGCAGGCACAATATAGCATCGTGACAATAAATATTTTGATCATTACGAGGCAGAACAATATAATATTTAAAAAGAATTCTTAAACTGGAAATTGTTTCTACAATTGTATGAAACTTTGTTAACAATTTGGATGTTTTTTTTATAAACAGATCTTCGCGTCTCAGTAAAAAATCATTTTTGATTTTACGTGCTATACATTCGTTACAAGTGGCAAGTGATAGTGAGTGCTCTACTCCACTGTCCTATTGAATACCTCCCAAAATATTGCAAAATGTGATAAGGAAATATATATTATAGATATGCATATATTTTTTATTCTAAACATCCTATCCTAAATTTAAATGACTTCATAAAACAAATTGACGCAGATTAATAAAACCGTTTTTGTCAAATATTTCATTAATTTATCCATAATTTTGTTTCAATTTTTTATGAAATCATCTGAATTATGTCCAGAATATGCATATATATAACATATATTTCCTTTTCACTATGTCAGTCACTTTTTGTAATACTTTGGATGTTAGAAAAACACAACACAATTTATATGGAAGACAATCACTGGTTTATACACATATAGCACGACGTTTCGACAAGTATTATCTTATCTTTTCAAGCACAAATGATAAACTAAAAGGTAATAATTGAGTATTACTTACAAACAAACGTTCTTATCGCTGATTATTAGTACGTTGGTCAGTTTTCTCAAAATTTCAAATATCCATATTTTTTCTAATTTTTCTTATATGAAATCATTTATATTTTGGATATGATGTGTAGAATATGATTATCTATAACATATGATTATCGTTCTTTGGGAGCCCTTGACAAAACAAACGCTCTTGTCGGCGGTTAGTAGAGCCCTTACTCTAAATAGGTCAGTTCTTGGAATTAGAATTTAAATTGATATTCAACTTCAAAAGTACTGAAACTGCCAAAGCAGTGTTCGGTCAGAATTATTCACGGAGCATAATATTCCTAGAAATATTTGCTAAATACCTTCCACGAAACAACCATTTTAGTAATACTACTGTAGGGTTTACACCACAGCCCATCGGTTGATTTAGTGATATATAATTTGATCATTTTTTTTATTTTGTAAAATAATAATAATAAAATGTTGATTTACTATGCATGCCTACTTACTTAGTTCATCTCTTTTCATTCTATATTTATCAGTAACTGGTACTCTCTGTAAATGGACAACATCATTAAAATTAGTCTGGGTGACGCTTATTTTATTGTCTCTGGATAAACCTGGGAACAGATTCAATCTAGTTTTATGACCAAGATCTTGGTACTCATTCAATGGCGTTTCTAACAATGTTGGGATTTCTTTCTGGATTCTCAGCCTAGGTGCTCGTTCTTGCCGTTGACGTTCGAGTGTTCCACTGACTTTATCAACGTCGGACAACAATTCATCACACATTCGACTTCCAAACGAGTGTCGTATATTTGCTGGTAGCGGTACAATGCTCGTTGGTTTTTCTTGTGCAGCGAAACTGGTGACGTTGCGGCAGTTTTCGTTGGTATTTTTCACTTGGGCTGTATTATAGTGTACTAGAAAATCGCTGTCGAAGCCGTTGTTTTTAGCACTGGACCTTCTTCCATATCGTGGAGAATCTTGGGGTTGTCTTTCTCTAATGATTCCCATTTCCTGGTTATTAGAACTAAACACATCCCCCATTATCTTGTATTGATGTTGTTTTACCCTGTTTGTTTGTTCTGGAGGATCTGGATTCATGAGTTCCATCAATGTCTTGGAATCATTTGGTTTACGATGTTTGGCAGTACTTGGTGGAGTTGTTTGGAAGTTTAGAGCTTTGGCTTGGGAAGCTTTGTATTCTTCAGCTGCTTGTTGGACTCGCATTTTTTGATTTTCATAATCTTGTAATCTTGCTGATAAATCGGTACTGACTGGAAGATAAATTCGAAATAACAGACTTTGAATTACTTATAATTTTACTGTCGAAATATTAAACAGGCATTATGCAAAAGCTAAATTGGTCTATTGAGGTCTTTCTTTTGGGACATAAATATAAATTATTAATTAACTTACCAAGACCATAATCAACTCTCGATGTCATCGGATGGTTCCGATATTAAGTAGATTTAAATATGTTTTGCGACTGGTGATTTACCGTAAAAATGGATAATCGAAACTTTGTTTATTATCGTAACAAAGGTAGCGATGACAATCGAGGCTAAGCTGTATTGTATCGCCAATATCTCCGAGTGAAGTAATTTGACTAAAATTTTCAACATATTTCTTTTCATTATCTATTTTCAACTATTGTAGCCAGAACTGTCAGCTCTTTATCCAATCTTACCTAATGCCCATTTAATCGGGTCAAACATTAAATATAATAAATTTAGTGGGCCACTTAAATTTTATAAAATTTAATAAAAAACACATTGATCTGGGGGGGTCAATTATATAAATTTAGGCCACGAAATTTCAAATTTTGGCGTAACCAGAAAAACGGTTGCGGGTTTATGCTCTGCGTAATCATTTGCTTTGGTTACGCCAGGTAACCATTGCGTAACCAATTGGTTATATAAAATGGTTGCGCAATTTTCATGTTTTATCCAGATTTAAATGGTTCTATTATTCATTTCCACTTGCAGTGAATGTATTTTTTAAAGAAATAACTTGACTAATTTATATTCTTTTATATTTAAATATTATATTTTGAGGTTAAACATACATTATGCAAGAGCTAATTCGGTCTATTGCAGGTCTTTCTTTAGGTCTGAAATGTTATCTAAATTATTAATTAATTAGACATTAATTAACCTATCCAGATCATAATCAACCCTAGATAGCATCGCTAGCCTGCGATCTTTAGTGGATTGTGAGTCGATTTATTGCATAACTTTCCTTCACGATTTAACGATTAATTGGATAATCGTTTACATTATAGTGCAGAACGGAGGGCCTGACAATGACAGCTGTCTAGTCATAATCAACCCTAGATAGCATCGCTAGCCTGCGATCTTTAGTGGATTGTGAGTCGATGTATTGCATAACTTTCCTTCACGATTTAACGATTAATTGGATAATCGTTTACATTATAGTGCAGAACGGAGGGCCTGACAATGACAGCTGTCTAGTCCTTCGGGTGAGACGAAAAACCGAGGTCCCGTGTATACATTGGAATGCACGTAAAAGATCCCTTGGCAGTTGGAATTCGATATAAGAGTAGGCGATAGTGTGGCGTATGCCCGTCTTCATTAGCCCAGTATAGGAGCAGAACAGTAGGACGTTAAACCCCATTTCATTTCGTTTACATTATCACTCAGGCGATGCCGGTGGGAGTCAAAGTTGACGACATACATACGGGTCATCGGTACTACCGTACAACATAACATGGCTATATAGTGAAAAGAACACGTGTAGTAAATTCTTTGGAAATATTATAGCTGACATGTTAACTCTTTTTGTATTTGATAATCAAAAGGTACACTTTCAAATATTTATGGCATAATTAATCATTTAAAGAATTTTTTTTTGGGGGGGGGGGGGGGGTAAATCAACCTGCTTGCAACTGGTCAATACGTGATGTCAAAATACCTGATCTGTCAAAGTAGGGGTAAGATGGAGAAATGAAATGCCAAGAATGAATGAATGGAGTTTGTGCTATAATACTAATAATTTAGACCTGTGTCACAAAGTCATCCTGTATAAAAATTGATCAAATGTGAATAAATTTGTTAATGAATTTTGTTAACGTTTAACCGATATTTCAATTTGCCTAACCAGGAAATAGGTCGCGTGTTTTTGAGCTGGCGTGACCGCACGTAACCGATTGGTATCTTTCGGGTGAAATTTTGTGGCCTGTAAATCCAAAAGGACATTGATTTATTATAAAATGACATTTCCATTCCATACCAGTGATTTTTATTTTATTTTCCAATTCCATTTATAGTGGGTGGTGGTAGGGACCCAAGTCTGTAAATTTAAAAAAAATACAGGCGTATTACTTACCGTAAGGTGTGTACATATTGGTATATTTGTTTACATCTATATTATAAATATGTTCACGTTCTCCATCCGTGAATGCCTCTAGAGATGTGCCAAATAAAGTATGTTTAGGTTTGACATTAGATCGATCCGGCCGATACGTATCTAGAGACCTCCTAGGTGAATCAAAATCTACAGCAGCCATATTTGGTTATCGTACTGAAAAACAACAAATTTCAGTTGAAATATTTAACAGCACTTGACTTTGTAAAAGTTATTTACTTGGAGGCGCATCTCCTTCCATACTAATGCTGATGACATTTCTAAAACTGGCATTGTGAAATAGTCACTTAGTGATGACCAAGTCGTCTAAATTTCGACAACAAGACGTTTAAATTCAAATCATCATAGAGTCTATAGACTCCCCTTCTGTTAATATTTTCAGGTTTCGTCTATAGTTTAAGCAAATACATTTAAACATTAGGCCTACCGAGATATCTCTTTTAAAATGGAGTCGTTTCCCTTACACGTACCAATTCGGAACCAAATTGCAAGATTATAACTATAAGAAATGAAATGGGGTTTAACGTCCTACTGTTCTATTCCTATGCTGGACTAATGAAGACGGGCATACGCCATACAGTGTGCTATGAGGGAAATTTTGCCCGGGCAGCGGCACTATCGCCTACTCTTATATCGAATTCCAACTGCCAGGGGATCTTTTACGTACATTCTAATGTATACACGGGACCTCGGTTTTTCGTCTCATCCGAAGTACTAGACAGCTGTCCTTGTCAGGCCCTCCGTCCTGCATCACTGACAAGGCAAGATTATAAGAAGTATTTTATTGCCTATAGTATAGCAGCTGAATAATTGAAACCATACTACCCACTAGATCTAAATCTTTAGACATTCAGATATCTCAGCGATATCTCAAATAATCTAATTTTATTAACACCTCCTGATATATTATTAAACTGCATGCAATCCGTATTATTATGGTAATATTTACTAATAATAGTAGCCTAATAATAATATACTAATATTATTATTATTACTATAATTAGGCCTACAAATTATTGTGTACGTAGATCGATCAAAATTCAAAGACGGACAAAAAAGTATAAGTTCCATCTCTCTGTGCCTTGAAGATTATTATTTTTTACCTTAACGGCAGAGAGATGGTTTGGAGATCAACTCTTTTGATTGATGTTAATATTGACTCGAGTTCTCCAGAACTCCAGCCTAGTACTATAAATAAACTTACTAACTAAGTACTAAAAAAATAACCTACGGCACGGTTACACTAAAAAGTACCGTAGTAACACTAACAGGTTTTTTATGACTTTCTTAGGTTTCATCAATTCTTCGTAAGCAAATTATAAAGTAAGTTCATTTAAATAGTTACCTGGAGTTGTAAAACTTTTTTTCATGTGAAAGTTATGATCAATACCCCATAGTTACCCGTTGTTATGTGAAGTGAGCTTCGCGGAAACAAGATGGCGACGACTAGTGACGTTTTACTCAACACACAATGTGTGACGTAGATCTCAAACCCCTGTGAATTTCTATGGAAAATTTCCATTCTATTCTAGATATTAAATTTTTCTGTACATGTATTTAGTTCAAGATAATAACAGGTAAATGGCACTGGTTTAGTGATAGTTTTATACATGCTAAGTATTCAGTTATTTTTCTCTGGTCGCAGATTTTTACCACGGACGATGATTTTACGAAATGAATGCGCTATTTAGATTACAAAAATGGATCGTTTCATGCCCAGCTGATATGATCATATATTTACACATGATCATCATGATGTACTACTGTAGTAAGGGGAAACTTTTTATAGTTAAAGTGGGAATTGACTGAGATTTTGTTTTTTTCTTAATGTGGAGAAAATTAAATTTTGAAAAAGAAGTAAAATGTCTTTGAATCAATTTGTCAATTTCCGTGTGCAAAAACACAAAATTGACACGTCTGTGACCCTTCCTTGCCTTGTTGTTGGGTACAGGGACTTGGGTAGTTCCAAAATGACCTAATTTGTGTTGAGTGGATGTGATACCCCCCACTCCCGCACAAATAGATCTATGTCCTGGTGGTAAGCATACTCCCCGTAGTGTTTCGTTTGATTAGAGCTAATCCCACTAAACACTGCTTTAATGGAAGCAAATTTCTGTTCCAAATTATGACTGGTCAATAGTAATAGTCCGATTAACAACCAATAGCTATAACTGCGAAACATTATAATTATCCTTTAAAGTTGCAATTTTATATTTTTAAGTTATATTTTTAAAAATTTATTAAAATAAAGCCTTAAAATAGATGGTATCTATAAACAGTCCTACTTTGTTAAAGAATAATCATATTAATCTTATAATTCACTATGGCCAGTTGAGAAATGGGCAAAAATATCATTTTCATCTTCAAAATCAAACGTTTGAAGATAACTACTCCATGGTGGAGAATAGAAAACAAGGGAGGTAATTGTGTTATTATTTCCGGTGTAAATGAGTTTTAAGTGTGAGAATGACACCTATGATCGTATAATAGTGAGTTGACAACCTATTGAGCAAAAGACGTAGAAATAATTATGTTTTGACTTTCTTAGAAAATATGAAATTGTAACTTTAAACAAAGCTGCAAATTGGACCAAATATGTTTACATAACGTTACGTACCACGACTCAAGATTTTTATTAGCAGAATATTGCAAAAAAAACTAATTGCGTGACAAACAAGGCTATCAACACAAATACAATGTAAACAATATTGTATGTAGACGAACAAGACTTTCACCGTTTTAATATGTTGCTGTACTTGGGATAGATTTGATTGAACGGGAAGAATAGACACACTCCCTTAAAAGCTCAAGTATCAGCAATGGCCAGAGAGGGATTTCTCGGGCTTCAGGAATATGGGTGGTATGATGATATATGAATTCTATTGGTATTTGTTAAGTTTGTAAACCCAGAAATACACCAACATATTTTATGCATTTAATTTGCTACAGATTTTACATAAATTAATAAAACTATGGGCCCTATCAGGTCAGATTTAAGACTTACCAATAGTATGGCTAGAAAAAAATGTGTAGCAAGTGAATTCTGTAGATCTGTGAAAATTAATCCAACCAATTATCGCGACATTTAAAATTTAGATTATGCATTCTGGTAGAATTCTTAGTTTTTCATTTTTTTTTTACAGATAATATTATTAGTCAAAATGGCATCAAGGAATTTACTCAGAAGGACATGTACAATATTATTAAGACAGCTGAGTAGTAGAAATATTGGACTACCTACCCTTGCAAGATATCCACAATTCACCTACAAAAATCTTCCATTAAATCACCACAGCCAAAAGTTTTCTTCCTCAAGACCTCTTTCAGCATCTTCATTTGAATGTGTGAATATTCAGGATGCTGAAGATTTCAAAACCAAAGTTTTAAAAAGTACAACTCCAGTAGTTGTCGATTTTCATGCCACGTAAGTAAATCCATATTCTTATATGTTTCTCTAGCCAACAAACAATATTAAACTGTCTCTTTTTTATATGTCTATATGAATGCAAACATTTTTCAGATGGTGTGGCCCTTGTAAAGTATTAGGACCTCGATTAGAGGCCATTATATCAGAAAAAAAGGGCAAGATTGTTATGGCCAAAGTTGATATTGATGAAAATCCAGGACTGGCCATGGACTATGAGGTAATAAATAGTGTCTGAAAGAGACATAAGAGCACAAAGTTTAAGTATTGAACTACTATTTCACAGCTTAGCTTCCCATTATGACTGGTGCAATACTTTGGATTGAAATGAAATGGGTTTTAATATCCTACTGTTCTACTCCAACTGGGCTAATGAAGACGGACATAGGCCATGCAGTGTACTATGAGGGAAATTTTGCCCCGACAGCGGCACATTGGCCTACTCTTATTTCGAATTCCAACTGTAAATGGTTCTTTTATGTGCACGCCAATGTGTAGACAGGACCTGTTTTTCGTCCCATCCATCCAAACGACTATACGTTGTTCCTCCCAGACCTTCCGCCCTACATCATTGACAAGGGAGAACCGCACTGGAAAATCCTGATTAACTTTCACAGCCAAAGCAGGGATTGAACATAGGGCTTACAGGTTAGCAAGCAAACGACTTACGGGTTAGCCACAGGATCCCAGATAAGTGCTACATGTACTACCGGTATAGTAGATTGTTGACATGGTTCTTAGTCACTGCACAGTAAATTCCACTGTGTGCTATACTGTAACGTACATTTTGTGTTCTTTGAGCTGTTAAACCCAAATTAATAATTCAGTTCATTTCTGTTGGTGGGGAGTAGGTGGGCGAAACCCACTCTTGTATATCATTCAATATTGTAATAATATTTATATACTGTGTTGTTAATATATAAACATTTAGTTGTAGATATATTGATTATTATTGTATTTCAGGTGAGATCAGTACCTATGGTTGTTAGTATAAAGGATGGAAAAGTAAAAAATTCTTTTATTGGCTTAAAAGATGATGATATTATACAAAGTTTCGTTAATGAACTAGTATAGTTTTGTACATGTTGTTGTCTTTGATAAATTAATGCTAAAATGTTATGCATCAAAGGCAAAGCAAATGTTGATACTTGCATGGATAAATTTGCTAGTCACCAAAGCTTGTTATTTGAACGAAAATACCTTGTGACAAATCTTTGATATAATTATAATCCTGTAAACTGCTCAGTCAGTTAACTACATAATTATTAATACTTGTTATGTATTTAGTAATATTTATACCCTTTTGTGAAGAAAATTTTTTGATGCAACTAGGTCTATACTGGCATCGCTGGCACTAGTCATAATCTATGCCTTGTGTACGGAAAGTTTAAGGTAACAGAAACATTTTTTTAACAATTATTTTGTACTTTTTTTTTTCTACTAATCAGTACAGTGTATCATGAATAATCATAATAGGTAATTTTGTTGATTGATTCAACAATTGACTAGTGATTTTAACAATGTATTACATGGATGATATGTATTATTTGTACATAAATTTATTTAGTGATAATGTGTTTGTTGTTATTATTATTTATTTAACTATTATTATCAGCTACTTCCGGATTCGCAGTGGCCAGTGGCTCGGTGAGAATGATACTTGTTTACTAACAAGGTGAGAAAGTTCCTCAGAATTTTTCTGCCTAATTTCATCTGACGAGGAAAAGCCTCTAATCACTCTAATGGTACAGAAAACCAAGGTCCTGTGTATACCATTCACAGTCTCTTACACAGATACCATAATTGGAAATTGCAATTGAAGTAGACGATAGTGCCACTGTTGGGGCAAAATTTCCCTTGTAGCACACTGCATGGTGTATACCTGTTTTCATTAACCCAGTTTTTGTAGAAAAGTAAGCTGTTATAACACTTTTCCATTTATTAGCTTCTCCAAGGAATGTTTAAAAGTGGCAGGTGTAGTACATGAGACAGGGTATATACTGATATGTTCCATATGACAAGTTGACTGTGTTAAATTAAAAATCATTGTCAACAAACTCCTCAGAGACAGTTTTAACAATTCAGTGACAAACTCTGTGCTAAGCTTATTTAACATTAAAATTGTTTACCAGGCAATGACACACCAGCTGTCACATCTTTATTGTTTTTGTAGGTAAGGGGAGCATTAACAAGACACTTAAAACTCATGAAGGGCAACACCCCATAAAGTAATTATCAGAAATAGTGAAAATTTGATTGGCTTCTAGTTCTTCCTGATGCTAACATTTATTATACCATGTACTGATGATAACTTTAGATGTTAAATTGTATAACTAAAGCTTTTTGAGCATCCTTAATCACAGTCTAATGTATGTCCATTTTCATTAGCTCAGTCGGGGAAGAACAGTAGGATGTCAATCTCATTTTATAGTATTTAATTAACAAAACCATTGATAGATAATCTTGTATTCAATTGGATTAAAAAGTAGCCCATCAAAAGATATTACCTAACAGGTTAAAATCCTTATACGGCATTTAGTAACTGAACCTATGATATAAAACACAAATTTATATGGAAAACAATCACTGAGTTTATTTCACACTACGTTTCAATAAGTTCCTCTTGTTCTCAAGTAAGTAATGTGAAAGTAAATACTTACTTGAGAACGACAAGAGGAACTTATTGAAACGTAGTGTGAAATAAACTCAGTGATTGTTTTCCATATAAATTTGTGTTTTATACCTAAAAGGTTGTGCTGGCTTATTTCTATTTTCTGTAGTAAATTAATTACTGAACGAAATTAAACCCTTTTTTGGACTCATATTCATTTGTTTTAGATTCAAAATTCGAAGTCCTTCAAATAAAGATCTACAGCTTTTAGTAAAGGCATTAAAAAATTTCTGAATGGTGAAAATCTCCCCAGTACTAATTCCTCTTTAAACCAAGAAACATCTGTTAGGTTTGGTTATATTATATACTTGCCCATCAAACAAGAAACACCAGGCATGCAGTATTTAAGGTGTCTGTGTATATTGGGTCATGTCTGTAGGTTTTTCATGTGTAATTGTTTGTGGAGCTGTCCCCATGCACTTACTATAAGAACAGCTAAATCGTCCGAGCGGTCGACAAGGGTTGTTGCATATTTATTCTTTTGTAGGTAATTAGGGGAATTTAATAGACAATTTCATACAGATGACATTATAATTTTCGTCGTTTGAGGGTTCACATGGTTCTAAAAACTAAAACAAGGGCCATAACTCTGGAAGTAATCTACAGAAATTGTTGAAATTCGGCAGGCTTCTTCGTTACACTAATTTAAATGATGCATATCAATTTCAAACAGATTGGATGATAACTGTTGTCATTAGAGCGTTCACAAGATAACAAAGTGAAACAAGGGCCATAACTCTAGATGTAATTAACGGAAATTTCTGAAATTCAATAGGCTTCTTTGTTTTACTAATTTAAATGATGTATATAAATTTCATACAGATCAGATAATAACATTTGTCGTTAGAGCATTCACAAGGTACAACAAAGTGAAACAAGGGCCATAACTCACGGCGTAATAAACGGAAATTCCTGAAATTCAATGGGCTTCTTTGTTTCACTAATTTAAATGATGCATATCAATTTCAAACAGACTGGATGATAACTGTTGTCATTAGAGCGTTCACAGAATTCAACAAAGTGAAACAAGAGCCATAACTCTAGATGTAATTAACGAAAATTTCTGAAATTCAATAGGCTTCCCCGTTTTACTAATTTAAATGATGCATATAAATTTCATACAGATCGGTTGGTAACATATATCAATATCAATTTCAAAACAATCAGATGATAAATGTAGAGTGTTCACAAGAAATTGAGGACGGAGGTGATGGCAATATACGACCACATTTCCATGATGGCGTATAAAAATTAAGCAAGGACTCGTAGATTTAAAATGTTTATTTTGATGATATATCAATAGATATGTAATACTTCTATACAATATTGTCCTATTTTAGGTTTTATTGGGTTAGATAATTTAGACTTGTATTGAGATAACAATGCTTCTAATTCTATCATACCATCATAAAACTGTGTCTGAAAAATAGATATAGAGAATGGATTCTTCAGTTGTTGAATATAATAGTCATTTAATAGATAAAGTACAAACATACTATGGACCAGGGGTTGAGCATGATGTCATCACCGCCATCTTAGAATGCATAACTGACCAAGGAACAAGCATACCAAGTTTGAACTCAATTATACTTGATTTAGCAGAGTCTTAGTCTTTTTTTCAGGGAGCATCACCTCCAAAAAGAAGAACACACCTCCAAAAAAAAGAACAACAAAATGAGTAGCATTTGGGGCCCAGTTCCATGTCCAGAAAAAATGTATTTATCAGCAATCATTTATTGTGGGTGTTTTTTTTATCTCATTAATTCACCAATGAGCGATGACATAACAATTTTATATTAGGATAGGATTAACATGAAACTTGTTATCAGCAAAACATTGTTATTAAGTCTGAGAATAAAACTGATAATTCTTTATTAATATAAATAATGGGGGTGTTACATGGGGGAATGAATTTTTGGCTGGCAATTAACTATTTAAATCTGAATTGTACTCTTACCTGTTGTGAAACAGCTTCATGTAGTTTAATAAGTAACACTCTAGCATCAGGAGATAGTATTAACTGTGTAACATGAGCATCTATAGTACAACTTATCCAATCTATAACATTCTGTAACTAAAATACAGATAAGCATCTATAGTACAACTTATTCAATCTATAGCATTCTGTAACTAAGAGTACAACTTATCCAGTCCATAACATTTTATAACTAAGATATAAATAGAACTTGTATAGTACAACTTATTCAATCTATAACATTCTGTAACTAATATAGTACAACTTCTCCAATCTATATAAGTCTTGACCAATCAAATCTCTTTAACATCCTACTGTTCTGCTCCAACCGGGCTAATGAAGATATGCAAACACCAAGCAGTGTGCTATGAGGGAAGTTTTGCCCAGATAGCATTGCTACGGCCTATTCTTATTTCTATTTCCAACTGTTGAGGCATTTTCTCGACCAATGCGAGAACACCTGGCTAGGGAACCAGCGCCTTAGGTACTGAGTCACCACAGCTACACAGTGGAACACAAAGTTGGTTATAAGATATAGACATCAAATTTTCAATGTCATCCCACAAAACCATTCACTTAAAATGTAATGACTCAATGAGGTCTAGTAATTTTAACATTCTTCTCAGCCCTCATAGGAATTTGAACCATTGACCTGTCTAACCACACAACTACCCTGCCCTAGCTTATCTGAACACAAATGAGTTTAATTTACCTGTGGTCTGGTAGAAAATGACACAGCTTGGTTATCATCTGTTGCCATTAAATAAAACAAAAAGTCCAGTAAACTCTACAAAGAAATATAAATAACATCAACAACTACATTCAATCCGTATTATTTTGACAAGAAAAAAGAAGCAGCAAAAAGACCCATTTCCATGAAAATTATATATGTTGAAATGTACCATACATAAAAGTACCTGTACATTATTCAGTTTATTGCAGAGGATAGAATAATTTGTACTTACTAAGACATTCTTAAAGTTCAGTTTCCGTAGCTTGTCTATTAGAAATATATCACTGAATGGTTGACTCAATACTTCACGACTAATAAAAGTTAAGGCATTAAAATTTATAAATAAAGAACAATTTACAATACAATAAATAAATAACAAATTCAAGAAATATTTCTATTATTCTACATTCAGCTTAGTGTTGAATTTGTTCTTCGATAAACCTTGAAATGAGTGTCTGTTATAGATACTTTCAGTTTAAATTTGATATCATAACTTAACAAATATTTAGCAAGGATACATTAAATGAGCCTTTAAAGCACCAAATGGACATTTATCTTGATTAACTTCTATCACAGTTGAAATATCAATATCTAAATTCTTCTCAAAATCTTCATCTGATAATCTGAATTATAAAATATTGGTTGGCTTGTATCACGATTTTTATATATAAAATTGATGGTGGCAAAACATCAAAATACATTAATGTAGACTCCAAATGGTCTCATTTTAATTCAAATTAATCAATTAGAAGACCGAATATGATATTTTAATGAGAGTATATTTTATATTTCCTTGCTGGGATTTAAGCACAAGTATAATGTGGATGGCTCACCCTATATAATATTGTAATATTTGAATAAGGCAAGCTTCAGGAATTTCTGATAGTTTCTGTAGACTGAGATGAAGTAAACTATTTTCTTTCTTCTCGATCAAAACTTCAATTAACTCAGATGAGATTCTGAAATAAAAAGTGATCAGTTGGTTTTATTTATCAAATTTATCTCTAAATTTTTCTGTCACTAATATCCTTCATTTTATGTTGGAGTGTGGGGGAGGTCAAGAAACAACAAACTGTCACAAAATATTGAATAAATTTTATTTTTTCATTTACGACATATGTTGAATATGACAAGAGACTTCTTTTTAAAATAATATGTAAATTTTAAAAAGAACATAGTATTAATAAAAATATATAATTTTATATTGCAATTAGTTACCCAGAAGAAATATATCCATGATTAAGAAGCTGTCTCAATTCTCCACATGGCCAAAATTTCCTCTCTGATAAACATCGTTGACAAAGTTGAATCATTTGAAGGCTGGAAATTGAGGAAGAGTTATCCCCCTTCATTAAACACTCCAAAAATATTTTAAATTGATCTGAGAATTTATTTTTGTTTTGAGTCTGAAAAATATAAAGTGAGTGAATAATGACATTTAATTTAGCCTTGTTATGAGTACTATTTTATGTTAAGATTCTTCACCTTGAAGATATATTTTACTATAGAATGCATAGGCCACCTGTAATTTACTGGAAAAAAACAAAACTCAAAAGAAACAAATTCGGTCAAAAATATGAATGCATTAAACAGCAGGCTACAGATTATAGCTGGTCTCTAAAGTCTCTTGTACCGTACTCTCTCTAAAACAGGTATATTATATCTGAATTGACATACCATTGAGATTACATGTAAAAAGACATATTTTAATTACTTTAGGGCTTGGAGTACTTTTCAGTGTCAATCTTAAAACTTTGCATAATTGTTCTGTGTGTAAAATAACACTGAGGACACATAACAGTTTGTTGTGTAATAATGGAGATACAAGTGGAAAGAAAAAAACTATCTATAGCAAACAAGAAGTTTCCCCAACCTAGAACAGTTGTTGAATAAATTATGACATCGTACACATCGGTCACGTGATCTGCAGTAAACATTCATGCCTCCAGCATAGTCTCTATCGTCCAGAAAAATATTGTCTGGCATGCGTTATCAACATTTGAGAAGAATAGCTCATTGGCTAGATTATCCAGTCTTTTACATTATCATAAACAAAGTCTAAGGGAAGTAACTAGTACTAAAACAAGATGTTGACGCCCATGAAATTAATTCAAGAATGTCATTTCAAAAAATCCATTTGATTGCATGCCAGTTCAATATCTAGCACTCTTATTTATTTTATTGTATAATATCTCCCTTCAGGGGCCATATCTCTGTTTTTTAAATTAATCCTAATTCGTCGTCACGATTCATGTTTGTTTATATTAATGCAAGAATTATAGGATTTATTGCGAGAAGGGGCACAAATCTTACTTGACTTGGCCAGAAGATACTTGATAATCAACCACATTAAAAACCAAACTCCCGGTTACGCATGGGCAATGGACTTTTAGTCAAATATTGACAACGGTCCCAGACCCTCCGTACGTTGAAGACTCGGAGGATCTGGGTGACCGAGACTACCTCCAGCAACAGTTCCACACTGGATAATGTATCCCAATTAAGTCATGTGACCAGAAGAAATTCCCTATACGACGCATATATTCAGGTCTATCATCTATCATGACTGGAACATCGCTGAATTTTTATTTTTGATGGTCGAAGACTACCATTTTTGAATGTATAAAATGATTTTGTGTGCGGCGAAATAGTGCATTGACGTAAACATTTACATTTTACATCCGAATTGTTGTATTTTAAATCTTGTTGTGGACGTAGTCAAATGAAATGAATTGAAATGTGGATTAACGTCCTACTCCAACTGGGCTAATGAAGACAAGCATATGCCATACAGTGTGCTATGAGGGAAATTTTGCCTGGACAGTGGCACTATGACCTACTCTTATATCAAAGTCCAACCACCAAGGGATCTCTTATGTGCTTGCCAATGTGTACAAATGTGTACATGGGACCTCGCTTTTCCTACCATTCGAACGACTACACATTGTCCCTTGCCATGCCCTCTGTCCTACACCTCTGACAAGGTGATAGGACGAAGTCAAAGAGTTTACCTAAAATCTTGATTAAAGGTAAATGAGAACAAAGATTTTAAATACTTTGAGTTGATATTTTGTAATGTTTATGGTGTCAATCTACAGTTGACATAGAATTTCCAAGAAAACTCATCATTATTTGGCGTTTCCATGGATAACAAACAAACCACTGTCTATTGCCAAAAAGTGAACCATACGTTTCTTGAACAAGCATTTAGCATTGTTCATGCCAAATTTGATGAATATCCATGAAGGCATAACTGAGAAAATTCAACTTTAGTTGTCATCAGCACCCTTTATTATCATGCTTTTGGGCCAAGTTTGGAACAAACATGTAGTTTGTAAATAAAATTGGTATTTTATTGTGATTAATATATAGTATTTTATTGTGATTAATATATAGTTTGTCACCCTAAATAATAGAAAATTTCATATCTTTTGAACAAAACTTATAGTGCTAGCTATAAAATGTGCATTTTAGAGTACTCAACGCCCTTAATTGCATATAATGAAGTAAAAACTTACTTTTGATGGATCTATAAGATCATTTAAAATGTTTTCAAGTTGTTTGACTGTATTATTACCTTTATTCTGGAAAACAAAGAGAGAAATTGGGTTTAACATCCACTCAACACAAACTAAGTCATTACGGGACTAACATGGTACAATCTTATTTCAATAATTTGATTCTCCTAGTGGTCTTTAGTGGGAGGAGACCAAGTAAGAAGTTTTATTCCACAGTTGTATATTCAATAGTGGTCATATATACACAACTCTATGACATGATAACAGCTGACAGAATTCATATTTCAAACAATTTGATAATTCAAACTAATTAACTCAGATAGATCTAATCATTGAAAAATAAAGACACTCTACATAAAATAAATTACCTTAACCTTTGTGGACCAGTTTATAATGTGTAAAGAAGAATTAGTGGTATCTTCAACACTGCGGGATTTTCCTAGGAATTCAGAAAGTGTTGATGTACCAAACTGATATGGAAATGCATACAGTTTTTTCCCGCAGTTCATAAATATATGGTTATTCAAACAAAACACCTGAAATGAGATTTTATTAATTTCAAAATCAAAATGCAGATGAATAACAGATGTATGACATGTTTCTCTTAATGAAGACATAATATAGATTAACAAGTATGTAATTTTGCTCTCCAACTACCGGTTACAGGGGGCATTAGAACTAGGAGGAAACTGAAGTACCAAGAGGAAAACCAAAGTTAGACAGGGGGCCCAACTCCGGGTCATGTTCCAACTTTAGATCAAACTGATCATTTGCATAGATTACAAGGCTTATGAACTGCAATGCATGCATTAGAACACTCGGCAACCTGCATATTCCTGAAGCAATGGCCCGAGAAATCCCTCTCTGGCCATTGCTGGATTGGCTTCTGATACTTGAGCTTTTGAGGGATTAGGTATAATCAAACGAAACACTGCGAGGGGTATGGGCAACCTGTGGTATCATGCTACCTTTCACTGTCTTATGAATATTGTATGTTTTACAGGGTCAAACGCAAAATCAAAACCGAGAAATCTACTCACACGAGGGACAACTCTACAAATTTCTGGAAATGGTTTAAAAGACTGAACAGCACAATATTTTGTATCAAATATTCCAACACCATCTGTAAAATAGAATCTATATTTCACAGAAATCATTTATAATTTTATGTTGTCTTAGTCTCCAGAATTGCTATAATGTGTGCAAAACATTGGATGCTTATTAACTGCTCTTGGTTGCAGTTTCTTGATTTGGTCATTCTTTTATGTTTCTATAGGTTTCTGTTACGTGTGGTGCAGGCCTCCTGCACTTTCTATTACACAGAGAGAGAGAGAAATGGGGTTTAACGTCCACTCCACACAAACTAGGTCATTTTGGGACTAACATATGGTTCAATTTTTTATTTCAACAATTCGCTTGCATGTAGGGGTCTTTAGTAGTGGGAAGAAACCGGAGAAAACCTGCAAGGTTGGACAGGCGACCCTACTCCTTGTCATGTACAACCGGGGAATCGAAACCATGCCAGATGACTCAATGACAGACCTTATGATACAGCGCGCACGCGCTAACCATTCGGCCATCCCCCCCACCCCTTTCTATTATACAATAAATTTAAAAAGAATTTATTGAAGAAAAAGTAGAAATAAACCAACAGATGGTAACAACATACTTTGTCCTTTTTTGTGTAAACCTGCTATAACAATCTGAGAATTGTCTAAACATACAATACTAGCTTCCGTTCCCAATTCATGTATTACACTTATAAATTCTTCTTCTGTACCACTTTCATTTATATCTATTCTATATAAATCTTTATTAGAACCTGTAAAAATAGGAAAATATAAAACATTAAGTCTTGAAAACTTGTTGAAATTAAGTCTAGAAAACTTGTTGAAATTAAGTCTTGAAAACTTGTTGAAATTAAGCTTTTTTTAAAACTACTTTTAAAATTGTTAATAGTTCTACTGTGTTTTATATTAAATAAAATAGTGTTTAATCTCTATGGCATAATGTTGTTCTACACTAAAATTTAACATTTTTTTTTACAACAGTATTAAAAAACAAGAATGTGACATACCTAATAAAAAGAGACAATTATTAAAATTTTCATCAGTGTGACAGCAATAATCTAGAACTGTTTTCTGGTATGTAATAACAAATGTCTGATGCTTCCATTGTTCTACATCATCTAAATACCACTGACAGTGAAGAGTTATTTTGTTCTGGAAGAATTAAATAAGATAAAATAAAACACATGCAGAATGAATAAATGATGTATTGTTTAAAACAATTTATTGAGCAATTTTACAACAAAGTATATTTTCGTAAATCTTTGAAAAACAATATCAGACATGACACAAAAGGATATGCTATCCCTATTGAATGTCCCTTTGACAAGTCTCGTGTCTTGGAGGTAAACTTAACTTAAAGTTTTTCATTTATTATGAGCATCTCCACGTCCTGGTAACAATTTTGAATCAATTACAGTATTCAAAATACAGGAATAAATCATGATTTTAAAAAATATCCTAAAAATCAAAAGCTTTGAGGGACCTCAATATGGAGATTATTATTCCAATAACTTTTGGTCGTTCAATTTGAAATAACAATTGAAATAACGTTATTGAGAAGATAACTCTGTTTAACTGTTAATTTTGAAGCATGACATAAGAGAATCAAGTCAAGAACCTAGTTGTAAATCTGATGTTTTGATAATTTTCTTTCTGTCAATAATTATACAACTAACTCACACAAAAACTAATTTAAAGCACAAATTTAAAGTTTACCTTTGATTCTACTAAATATATTACACCAAATCCATTTTGTTTTTTAATTATATCAGCATAAACTATGGTGTCTTGACTTCCAATTACAGGAGTTTCACAAACTGATTTTATATTTTCAATAAACTCTGCAGCTCCATTTTTACACAACACTATGGGTTTATATCCTTCGGTAGTAAATAATTTATAAATATCTGTTTTTATCTGAAAAATAATAATTCAAAAACATAGAAATTAGTCATGCAATTAGTGCTGGTAATAAAATGATTGGTCATGGGAGACTTAATGTCATCCACTCGACACAAACTAGGTCATTTAGGGACTAACATATATGGTACAATTTTATTTCAACAATTTGTTTGCTCGTAGGGGTCTTTAAGAGTGGGAAGAAACTGGAGGTCCCGGAGAAAGCCCACTACAAAATTGTAGTAAAATAACAAATGTTTTGACATACTTTTTTCTTCTTCGTCTTGTCAATTATGTTATCATCAACATTCCATCTTCTAATCTCCTGGAAATATATAATAACTATGTTGTAGCATTAACAAATAATTTTAGGTAGTTGAACTGCACTACGATACTCTTCTAATACACAAGAAAAATAAATCAAGATGACTCAAGTTATCAAGATCCTACACCCTTGGAAGGTACAGGGATAGACAATCTCTATAATAATCATTATTCACAAAAACCATCAGGTTACAAGAATTCATTAAATTTCATTTTACATTTTCATTATATTCATACATTCATTTCACATCAAATTATAAACGATATAGATTTAACATTAATTAATAGTACCTTAATATAATATATATACATTTTTTTTAAACATCAGACTATTTCTTAGGAGTTTTTACATTTTTGGGACCGAGAAAAATGACAATATATTTTCAATGAATTTACATATTTTTAATAGTTCGTTACCTTAACATGCAATAACTCATTCATTTTATGTGTGGATGGAAATTGGAAATAATATTTCTCTGTGCTATACATGTAGTATATACTGTACATGTTATAAATATGTTATGAATATCAATAGTTCAATATTTTGGCCATTAAAATTTAATATAGGACATGTTCTATAAGCATGCATTGATATCCTTTCCAAAAATATATTAATTTGAGTTTCAAAATATAATTTATTGAAGTGAGACAGCATAACGTATAAAAATGGCCATTTTTGGGCACATTTATTGCCATAACTCAACAACGAAGATATATTTTGCCTTGAAATTAAAATTTGTAGTCATTAGGAGAGGTCATTATTACAAATGTTGAATAAAAGAAATGGACTGTATATAACATCATAAAATTGAAAACTGGATAGATACTGTGTTTTTGTCGTAGGTACATGTGTGCAAAGTTTCATAAAGATATCTTGAGCAGTGTATGAAATATACTCCAGAATAACAACTTGTCTCCATTAGCCTGATGGGTGCAGAAACATATAATGTTAAACCCCATTCATTTCACCAGTAAGATACATGTATAATCACTTCAAACTAGAAAATAGCCACATTTAAATTCAAACTCAATTCAGATAAACATAATATTATTTCATTGTTTTTTTGTGTTTTATTGATATTTTTAAGGCATGTTTGGCACAAAGTAAGAATGACAGATACAACTAATTTCAATTGATCCTGTTGTCAAATAAACTTATAACTAAAATCATTATTTCCTGGATTTGATTGTCTTTGGTGAACAATTAAAAAAATACATGTGTATTATACCTGTTGATTAAAAACACAAATATATTCCTCTTCTTCATCACACCATATAACTGGACTGGTCACATTTACACCATGGCGGAGGGGCCAACTATGTATTAATTTCTGATCATCTACCTGAATTTAAAATATTGAATACGTCTTTCAATCATAAAATATCATTTCCAAACAAATTAACCCTTGTTATTTGTATGATAAAGTTAGTGTTGAGATATAAGTTAACAACCAATTGTGTGTTCCACTGTAGTGTTGACACAGCAAGCCAATATTAGTAATCAAATTATAATCAAGGGAGTTATCCAAAATATCCAAAAGAACTGAGATCTTTGTGATATAAACATGTTTTAAGTTTCATCAAAATTGAATAAAACTTGTGACTTCTAGAGGGTCCACAACCTTGATCTTACAATACATACTTGCGTACAGGGAGCCCCCATTTTGTGAAGCAGTTTTAATCCGATTTTCACAAAATTTGAACTCAATCATCATCATGGTGTATCGGTGATATATTTAAACGATTTTTAAAATTGGATAAAAATTGTGACCTATGGAGGGTCCACAAGCTAAAATCGTGATTTCTTTGTATAATCAGGGGTAATAATCCAGGAACTTATGGTCCGATAAGTGCGAATATCAAAAGGAACTGAGATCTTTGGGACATAATAAACACATGTTAAGTTTCATCAAACTCAGATCAAAACTGTGACCTGTAGAGGGTCCACAACCTTGATATTACATACTTTAACAATATTTGCATACAAGGAGTGGCCATTTTGTCCGGCAGTTTTGGTCCGATTTTCACGAAATTTGAACTCAATCATCCTTATATAGTAACGGTGATATGTTTGAATGTTTTTTTTTTTAAAATCAGATAAAAATTGTTACCTCTAGGGGGGACCACAAGCTAAAAACGTGATTTTTCGTACAATCTGGGAACATAATCCAGGAAGTTGCGGTGTTTAATCAAGCATTGTATTTAACCGACTTTGTCTATGATGATGCATATTTTGATTGGCTGTGTAGTACATGATTATTTAGCCCCACCTTCATGATGTTAAGAAGTCAAACAGCTCAAATTAATGTTCTTGCTGTAATAAGATGAAGAAGACATTTTTGTCCGATTCTTTGACATCTTTTTTTAATCAAACAACAACTACATGTATGACCAAAAAAGCATGCAGAGAACAAAAATATTCTTAGCACATGATAATGTCAATGGATCTGCAAAATATCCAAGACCAAAGAGGTCTTTAGGCTAGGCTATATGACAGTGAAAATAAATCAAAGTTGGGTACTTATTTGTGCAAATCGTGAAAGGCCTATTTACAACGAGGTTGCTTTAGTGACAATGACAGCTTCATCATGATTTTAATTATCATATCAAATAAAATCAACCAATTATCTTGTCAATTATGATTATCTGTTTTTTGTTTATTTACCCACGTGTGGGTATCAAAACCAGGTCATCGAACCTTGTTAAGCCATTTATTTACAAAATTTCTTACGTTGTATTCGTTTATGAACCCAGCTTCAAACGTGGCAAGTATATTATTCGAAGAAAGGCTTCTTTCGATTGATAAAATGTTAAATTTTGATGATAAATCGGCCAAAACAAATTCGTCCATGAGCGCAGCCATCTTGGCAATACGAAGTAAATGTAATACTTGCAACTGGTTTCTTGAAGTATTTAGGTCACAACTTTTGATCTGCGAGGGATAATTTAATTGATAAATATTTTCATAAATATATAAATAAATAGTTTTAATGATTATTATTCTGTTTAAATATTAATTTTAGGATGTCCAAATATTTTCTTAGTATTATTTTTATATTTACTGCCGAAAGCTTTTAAACGGGAAAGGAGAAATGGCGGAATGACAGGAACTAAATTAAAGTACTGTTATAATGTGATTCATTTGACTTTGAGAGGAATGGTTCATTAATCGGTTACAGCGTGTAATGAGTGACAAGTCCGGAGGTGCAAGGAGCAAGTCTCAAGACAAGACTGACAGTAACAATGGCAAGTCTTCGACGGGAGGTTCTGAAAATTCTAGAACCAACTTGACAGAAAAGTCAAACGAAGCCAAAGGAGGCTCGACTTACAACACAATAAATAATGTCACAAACAAAAACAACCTAACCGCAACAGAATCGAAACTAAAACTAGCGGATAAAAGGGAACCCCTAAAACCGATGCCAAAGTCAGTCCCATTTGTAAAAAATGGGAATTCCAGACTACTAAGAAAGGAAGACGAAAGAAAAAGTCTCAGGACAAGTAATCCAAATTTGACAAAGTTTGACTGCAGCAAATCTGAGATATTTTCTTCTGGAATTGTAGGACACAGGGGAAGTCAAGTTGATATGAGGAAGTCATCAGGTACATAATATTTTAGCCAAAAAAATATGATTAAAAAAAAAAAATCTACAATTTTTCAAGACAAAAATCTTGTCATATATATTTTATACACTCTGACATCTCTGAATCCACTATGATGTTTGTTTATAGCAGAATCTCGATTATTTTGTTGCTAAAATATCATTGAAAAAAATATAAATTTGCCTGTTTTGAGAAAAGGTCTCACAAACCCAAATTAGCTGGAAAGAATAATCCCTTTTTTATACGCCCACATAGATATGTGGACGTATATTGCCGTCGCCCCCGTCCGTCTGTCAATCAGTCTGTAGATTACTTACAGAGTTGAGACCCTTGTTAGTTTGTAGAACCTTGTGAAACCTCAAATGGCAAAAATTATGAACTGTCTTGTAAAGATCCCCATTACCTACAAAGAAATAAATATGCGACAACCCTTGTCGACCACTCGGACGATTTAGCTGCTGTGGGCGTATGTTTCGTTGCCTGGCAACCTATCTTATTTAATGATAATCTACACATTTTTTTTTTTAAAATGACAGAGTCAGAGGAAAAAGCATCATTTTTATCTTCAAGAATTTCTTGATCAATGTAATTCCTTTGACTTGTCATGGAGTTTAATTTCTAGGCCAATCTTCTTGGCATGCAATATCGAAGTGTTTTTTTTTTTTTTTAGTTCTGTGGTTATTATTATGGCTGAAAATAGTAACCATTTTTAAATGCATACATTAAAACATTAAAAAACCGGAGTGTCATTCAGTTATCGGGTTTAGTGAATTAATAGCAAATATCTTTATCAGGTGCTACGGAATGAATTGATATCTCTCGCAAAATTTTTCGAGTGTGTTTGAAAGTGCACTCTGAAAATTTACAGCGAGTGCTTTTTTCACATTCACTTTTTTTTATATAAAAAAATAAAGCCCCGCACATTTCTCTACATTCCCTGTAGCAATTTTAATTACATGACTTTTCATACTCGCAACATTTCGGACTCCCAACATTTCTGCCTGAACATAAATATGTCTTAATGTTTTGGACTTGGGAAGATGATGCTTCTGACTTGGGTTAAAAAATTTTTTTAGAAATAACATGCAGCTAAAACTTATCGTTTGTGATCAAGTACAGCACATACATGTAGATCACACACTACATGTATAGAGCGGCCTACACAGGAACAGCATTGTTTGCACATTTAATTATTTATATGAAAATAATGTTTAATTAAACATACATTATGCAAGAGCTAAATCGACCTATTGCAGGTCTTTTTTAGGCCTGAAATGTTTTCTAAATTAATTAGACATTAATTAACTTATCTAGGCCATAATCAACTCTGGATGGCATTGGATTTCTCCGATATTAAATAGATTAAAACAGTTCAGCCATATTTTGATTTAAGCTAAAAATGGGGGAGCGAGACTTAGCTTCGAACAACCAGTACAGTGGTTGAAATTATTGCACACGTCTTGTCAAACCTTCAAAGGCTTATATTGTCACATGCAATAGAGTAATTTGAATGAAATTTTCAAATTATTAATTTTACATTATCTATTTTCGAACTATTATAGCAAGAATGGCTAGTTCTTTATCCAAATCTTACATAATGTATCTTTAATAATATGTGTTTCTTTGTACAGTACAGTACATTAATAAACATTAATTAACTTAAATAGACATTAATTAACTTATCCAGACCATAGTCCACTCTCGATGGCATTTCTAGCCTACGATGTTTATTGAATTATGTTCCGATTTGATGTTCGATTTCCATTCATAATTTAATCATAAAATTGATAATCGAGACTATGTTTTTTATCAGATCGACTTTAGCAATAATGATGGAGGGCATTGGAGGCTAGGCCGAAAATTCAATCGCTAAAATCTCGGTTCAGAGTGGATCAATTTGACTGAAATTTTCAGCAAATTCCCTTTACTTACATTATCTAGTTTTTATACGCCCACATTGAAATGTGGTCATATATTGTTGTCGCCCCTGTCCTTCGGTCTGGCGTCCACAATTGCTTGTGGACGCTCTAGAGGCTAAAGTTAATATCCGATTAAATTTATACACAGTGTTTAAGGGCATGAGACGAAGAAGCCTATTGATTTTCAGTGATTTCTGATACTGCCAGAGTCATGGCCCTTGATCACTTCAAAATATCTTGTGGACGCTCTAGAGGCTAAAGTTAATATCTGATTGACTTTAAATTTATACACAGTGTTTAAGGTCATGAGACGAAGAATCCTATTGATTATCAGCGATTTCTGATAATTACTGCCAGAGTTATGGCCCATGAGTACTTCAAAATATCTTGAGGACACTGTAGAGGCCAAAGTTAATATCCGATTGACTTTAGATTTATACACAGTGTTTAAGGTCATGAGACGAAGAAGCCTATTGATTTTCAGCGATTTCCGATAATTATTGCCAGAGTTATGGCCCTTGATCATTTCAAAAAATCTTATGGATGCCAAAGTTAATATCCAATTGACTTTAAATTTATACACAGTGTTTAAGGTCATGAGTTGAAGAAGTCTATTGATTTTCAGCAATTTCCGATAATTACTGCCAGAGTTACATGTATGGCCCTTGATCATTTCAAAATATCTTGTGGATGCTCTAGAAGAAGCGATTTTCGATAATTTCTGCCAGAGTAATGACCCTTGATCACTTCAAAATATCTTGGGTATGCTGTACGTAGAGGCCCAAGTTAATATCCGATTGACTTTAAATTTATACACAGTGTTTAAGGTCATTAGTTGAAGAAGTCTATTGATATTCAGCAATTTCCGATAATTACTGCCAGAGTTACATGTATGGCCCTTGATCATTTCAAAATATCTTGTGGATGCTCTAGAAGAAGCTAAAGTTATCATCCGATTGACTTCAGATTGATACACAGAGTTTAAGGTCTTGAGACGAACAAGTATCTTGATTTTCAATGAATTTTGATAACATGAACAGCTAAATCCATAATATTAAATGTTTTGTATACTAAACGTTAGCATGGGCAGAACTTTATAAAAACCAAACAAATTCTAATGATTTTCTGATAATTACGTTAATGATTTGATACTCTTAATCAGATTTTAGTGTATTATAAATGTTTCATTACCCAAAGAAAGTAAAAATATGTGACAGCTCTTGTTAAATGCCCGGGCGATTTAGTTGCTGTGGGCGTAAGTTTCGTTGCCTGGCAACCTATCTCTAACTATTATAGTGAGAACTGCCAGCTCTTTATTTAATCTCCCAAAATGTATCTTTAATTTTAGTATATTTAGTATATGTTTCCAGGAGCCGTCATACATGTACTACCACAATTTTCGCCTCATATTCTTCAAGCTTGTTTGAGCTATTATTCACGACACCAGGAATTGACCCAGCATTGTATCGTGCATATTCTTTACAATGTTACTGACTTGATACATGTAGGTTATTTGTTATGATTTGTGGTATGACTTTGGTTGTTTGGTGTTTAAATTTCAAGAGCACCTTATTTTATTTCACAACTTCCCTTATGTGAAATCCAATGGAAGTGTTAATTGGCTGAAACCACTTGCATTTATTTGAGAAACTTCTTGAAGTTAAAGTAGCTAAGTCAGTAACTCAATATCATCCAAAGTCTTCGACATTAAAAACACGATTATTTTTGCAATTTAAATCAGCATTGGTGTTGTGATCTTACCTGGAGAAGATGGGCTTCTGATATCCAATATTTAACACAAAATAAACATTTTACCATTGGTACACGAATCGTATACCATAATGCGTTTCAGCCGTCGGCGCCATTTGTAACAAGGTGCTAAAAGAATGAGGCTAGACATATTCCACAAGTCATGTCAAACGGTGATATCATGTTCTTTTTTGGAGAGCATGGGCAATAAATAATATCGGTGTTGACTGGAATAACCAGAGCTAGAAACTGACTTGCGCCGAACATAACTGATGACAATTCACAGTAAAACGGACACGGATGAATGTAAAACAGTTTATATAAATTCATATTACATTATTATATGTGTTGCGACCCATTTGTGCCAATTTCTAGGTCCAGAATATTAGCGATTTAGCTCCTTTAAGTAATACTTTGCAAGGTTTAACTAATGGTATGCTGCAAATTGGGACCATGGCGGATTAGGACCAAATTCCTGATTGATTGGTACCAGATTTTTAACCGATTCAGACCATTATTTTAATGGCAAGAGTATTTAAAGTATGTTTGTGATGTATTTAATGATACAGCAAAAATGACAATCGACAATACTCGAAATTGATCCTTTCAGTGCCAGACATGTTTGAGGCCATGCCTGGGTATCTTTTATTTTAGCTTGCGTTAATGAGTGTGGTGATATGGAATTGGGTTTACTTTAATTTTGGATTTTGCTCTAATCAAACGAAGAAAGATTTGTCTGTACAGTTGCGTTTCCACGTACTCTTCTTTGATTCCACACTTGCACACCTACAGTACCAATGTTTCGACACAGGACCTCCGTTTTTTGTACCACACAAACAAGTAGACACTTTTCGTTGCCGCATGGTGACACAAACAACTGGATACTTTTCTTTGCCCGACCATCCATTCATCTACAAGTTGTAGGCTATGGACTTTAGTTAAACTCTATTTTAGCCATATTCTAGCATTAATAAGCTATTGATACAGATAGAGTGGTCTAACTCTTGGCACAGTAGGATTACAAATAAAAACATTGTCAAAAACTTTTAACAACGAAAGGGGTAACACTTAAAAAAAATCGAAAACAATTTTGTGCATAGATTTATTGAGATAAGATGATAAATAATCATGTGTTGTACAATCATGAAATGGATCTAATAATTACACTTCAGTGTATTGATAAAATGTGTTTACAAACTATTAAACTACCTGTATAGTTATGTCAAGATAAAAAAAACCCAAAACAATCTAGTATATTAACTGAACTCTGATTACAAAACTACAGAAATAATTAGATAAAAAAAATAATCGCCATACTTATTTTCAATTTGT